TAAGTCTTAGATTTTATGACTTTGCCATGTAGTGCATTTGCAACCAAGGAAACCTACCTGCTTTTAGGAAGTGCGCATTAATAATTATAATCATTTATTTTCATTTTATTTATCTGTATCATGTAGTATTATGTTGTTGTTACATGTAATATTTAAATAAAGAATTGTGTTTACTGCTATATGTATTTGCTCTTTTTGAGGGAAATGTATAATGCTGAATAAGATGCCCTCCATCAGAGAAAACTTGGAAATATCAGGAAAAAAGTTTCTATTTCTGTTTCCTTTTTAAGATGAGCTAAAATTAGTGTAAACATTTGTATCTTTAATACCTAAAAATAATAGTAATACCAGTATTCCCAAATGACTGGAAAAGCCAATTCACTAGTTGAAAGATGTGGGAAACTATACATCAAAAGATTAAATGAATGTGATCAAATCTGCAAAAAATCATTTTACTACAATTAAACATTTGTAAATGTGTTATGAATTTCTACACCAGCTGTTACAGCTGTATTGGGTCACTGAATTAGAAGGTTTCTATCTGATGTACAAGTACATGATTACTGTTACTGCCTCCATGCCGCTCCTCTTACAGTCTGCAGTTCATGCCTCCGGTTACAGTGATGGTCTCTCCGGTGATGTATGAGGCTTCCTCGGAGCACAGGAAGGCAATCACACCGCCTATATCCTCTGGCTGTCCGAGTCTAAGAGATCAAGACATTACATAAGAATCAGGTTTCCTGCACCAGAAAGCAACAAATGAAAGCTTATGAAAAGGAAGGAATAGCTTGTGTACAATTACTGCAATGCTACCTTACAGATAATGGGATTTTTTTTTTTTTACATTATTAATCATGAAATCATACACTTTAGCCATTTAAAAAAAACTGGTGCATAATAAATATAATATTTTTTGTGATGCATAATGCTAGTGGCACAATTTAGTTTCCTACTCGTGCTAATGCAATTCTAGATTCATGATATTTCAAGCTCCACAGTACTATTAGTTTAAAAACAATTTCATTCATTGTCTTGACAGCAGTTGTACAAACCTTTTTATGCTTGTCTGTTTCAAGAACTCTTCTAGCACACCCTCATTTTCCCATAGCTGCAAAAGAACAGAAGCAAAGGGTTATGCAGACAAACCTTGTAAAGACTATAATTGATATTATAAATTAAAATTAGACAAAGACGAGTTTCCAAGAAGCTCTGAAAATGAAAGCTGTCAAAAAGTTGTAGGAAATACTTACAGCAGCACTAAAACGTGTCTTGATGATGCCAGGGGCGACACAGTTGATCCGGATGTTACTGTGGGCGAGATCAGGAGCCAGCGCTCGAGTTAAACCCAGCAGGGCCGTCTTACTCACACTATAGGGGCCCAGACCCTAGGAGTCAAAGAGTGACGGCAAGGTGACCTCTCAACTAGTGCTGAATGAAAAGCAGCCGATAAAGTTAAACCCAATTAAAGAAACCACTTTAGTGCTATCAGTTCTTTTTGACAAGGTGTGTTGCATGATTAAACTTTACATAAGAGCAAGTAAACACCATACTTGCATTGGCTGGTACCCTGCGACTGAAGACACAATCACAACTGACCCACCCCTGAAAATGAAAAGGTCCTTAGTTAGGCTCAGATATGAAGTTTATAAAAAAAAAAAAAAATTATATATATAATATACCCCTCCCCCTTCTTTGACTTGTCTCTCACCCTCTTTTCTCCATGTGAGGCACAGCCAGTTTGGTTAGAAGGAAAGAAGCCGTCACATTCACTCCAAGTATCTGTGGTAGACATAAAGCGAATGTCAGTACCGACACTTCTGATTTTTTTTTTCCCCCATAGAAAAAAAGTTCATTAAGTCTAATAACTTTGTCATACTTTGTCCCAGACTTCCTCTGTGGATTCTAATATGTTCCCAAAAAACGGGTTCACCGCTGCATTAGACACCAGTATGTCCACACCGCCACACTGCTCAATTGTCTGCAACAACAAAGTAAATAACAGCATTTTACATCAAAGTTCTTCACAAAATATATTATACATTAGCAAGTTTGCACAGACTTTTGGGTTCCTCATAACATTTGCGTATATTCCTCAGTATGATTCCCAAAATGTTTACTAAATATTGACTAAAATGAGCGATAAAGAAACTCCTCACCATGTTAATGAGCTTGTCTCTATCTTCTGCTTTCCCCACATTGCATGTGGTGCCTATTACTTTTATATCTTTGCTGCGCAAGAGTGACACAGCCTTGTCAACGTTGGCCTGACGTCGACTGCTCACGACCACATGTGCTCCCCTCTGACCCAAAGCCTCTGCAGCTGCGAGCCCAATCCTGAGAAGACCGGTGAGTACAAGGGTCTGTCAGCATGTAATGCGAGTATTTGTGGATTCATGTTTACATTCATATATATTGACATATGTTGTAGTAGTGTTAGAGACTGTGTGTTTTGTGCTGTGACAGCTACACACCCTTTTATTTCAAAGATATGGAACTAAAGAACAGTTGGACAAGAATGGAAATAAAGCATCATACCCATCTGTGGATGCAGTTACTATAGCAACTTTTCCTGACAAATTCTGTGGTATGTGATGGGACATCATTCTTCTGCCAGCAACAGGATTTGACCAAAGGCTTCTGGTTATAGCCTTCAACATTGCCTTGAGAAAAACAGAAAGAGAGTGCATAATTGCTACAGCACTATGTAGGAAAGTGGGTTAAAGGTCATCTTGGGTACACAGTTACAAGTACACAGAATAGTTTCCCCGTTAACATTAATTACATTTCTTGACAAGCATTTGAAGTGAAAAAGTGTTTCTGTGAGGTACTTCAGAAACCACCAAGTTATCCTGCTTAAAGTTAATGTTACTTAAACAGAGCTAACGTGAACTGCACAACAACGCATTCATTGTTGAAGTGAGCCAAGAGCGAATCGTGTTATTTTTAAATTTTGATAAACTGTTAATAATATAACGTTAATTGTAAAGTATAGCTTAATAATAAGAAAAACAGCTTTACCTACGAGCTGAGAAGGTCTGCTGTTCTGGTGGCACTTTGCAAGTAACAAAGATCAACGTCTCTCGTACGTCATTACCGTAGAAATATTATAAACTGGTAGATTGTGTATTATGGGTCTGAGAAAGGGCGGTGATCAACGGTCCGGAAGTTGTCTCTTATTGGACTGAAAAGAAATTGCAATTCATTCTTGACTTTATGTGCAATTCGATGGATACTAATGTTTCTCTGGTGTCATTAATCAGGTGTAAAACTATTGCACAAATCCCCAAGAAGGAAGTAGAGAGTAGATTCGATTTTTGCGTGGTGCCTGTAACTTTTCAGAACTGACCAATCACAGATCAGTGTGATTACCGGATGTTTGACTGGATGTTTTTATTTATGATTTCATATAGATTTATGGGCCATATTTTTATTTTTATGTCCAGTATTAAGAGTTGGAATTAATTGATTAAATGTTTTACATTTTAGTGTTCAAACGTACCCCCAAAAATTGAATGCGGGTCAGTGGAGGAATCAGCTCTCTGATCCATCTGAGCCCTCACGCGCCCTCTGGAGGAAGATGCTAGTCTCAAGGAATATTAATTAATTAATTAATTAGTTAAAATTAATTAACCACTCATTCTTAAAGATCCACCTAATATATTAGTAAAGTATTTTATTTCAAGTAAACTTTGATATATTGTAGATTGCATAGGATTTATACAATCCCAGCTTTTACTGTTAAAAGCGTGTGTGCTGGTTTTGCACTTGTACCTGTCCTGTACAGTTCTTAATTTGACTATTGCAGTGGTGCTTTTAGTAAAAATAGGATATGGTTGGAGCTGAGCAGAAAAGTGCAGTCTTTCTTGATCACTTGCACTTTGTGAGGTCAACAAACAGCACTATCAGATACCTTGGCAGCGACCCTGTCCTTTTGTTCTATAACAAAGCTTTGTGTTTGTTCAGTGCAGTTCCTGTTGTTAATTCCTGTTGTTCAAGGTGTGTTACACTTGTTTTCAGTATAAATTGTAAATCTAGAAGCATAAAGAAACTTTGTTACAGCCCGTGGGATATCACTGTGTGGAACCTATCTCAGATAATATGACATTTATTATGCTAAACATGTTCAGTCTAGATAATATAATTTCCATTAATTGGCTTTATGGTTTTTATGGACATTTTTAATTTAGACACAAAAAACTGAAGTACATTCTTATTTAATTTCCGCTGATGTCTTTGTTTTGTCTAGCTAATGTTTTTGAACAGTATAACCCAGCATATTGTTGAATTAGAGCATGTATATTAACGCACAGCCACTGAAGGTCTACTCTTCACAAAGGCTTTTCTTCATCATGGTTAGTATACACTTGTATGTATTTTATCATACTATTCCTTTAGTGATGTTATTTTATTTGAAAGTAATTGAATACCAGCTTGTGCATATCACACTGAAAAAAATGATACTAATTTTTTTTAAGGTAAGTGGTTGCAAACAATTGATTTTAGCTACATTTAAATAAACTAATTCAGTTGAAAGTTAAAATGATTGCAACCTCTTACCTTACATTTTTTTTAGTAAATTCAATTAATAATTTTTTGCATTTGCACTTTTATTTGAGCCTTTTCTCCAGTCTGAACGAAACTGACAGAAATTTACAAGAGGAAATTCCTAGTCTGTGTAGTTAGTAAGATGTTTATACTTTAATGTGAATTTGGTCAGAAGTTTACATTAGAGGCAGCTGTAACCAGAAGCAGCACTTGCCAATGTTTGTAAAAACAAATAATATACAGACAGACAGACAGACAGATAGACAGACAGACAGACAGACAGACAGACAGACAGACAGATAGATAGATAGATAGATAGATAGATAGATAGATAGATAGATAGATAGAAAGAAGTCCTCCAGTAGAGGGCGTGATGCACTGTAGGAATCGTGCTGTGTCGGGCACAATGAGGGGGAGCGACCATATGCGCTCAACTGTAATTCAAAACCAAGAAGGCCAGGGTAGGGCGAAGCGAGACGTGTATCCCCAAAGAAAGAAAAGAAAACAACAGCCGTGCATTGCAGTCTTTTGAGAAGATATGATTTGCGACGTTTGATTCTACTTTTGTATTTCCAGATGATTTTTCTAGACATGTGAACGGTAAGACGAGCATTGCTTATTTAGTTAACATTTTACACTGGCTGATCGCCGCTTGTTTGCGTCTTTGTGACACAATTAAAATGCATCCCGTTTTTTGAAAGGACGTTATTTATATACCTAATGCCGTTGGCACTGGGTTATCCGGAGAATTCGGGCTTTTATTGTTTTCTTTATTTTATTTCTTCGTTTGTTTAGTCCTCTGTTTGTCTCATTGGGGTTCTACTGCATAAAAGAAACCTTGAGATGTCTTGGATGGAAAACGAAACATGGCTTAGGACTGTGATTTTTTTTTTTCTGTTGCAGCCTGGTGCAGTTTAATTTAGCAAAATTACTTGAAATACGCTAGGTAAACAGGATTATAATTTGCCATCTTTTTAATTAAAAAAAATATATATAGACATTATCCAGTGTCCTAGTCTTTAGTAGGCGGTTGAGCCGTATAGCCCCTTAATCCTCTGTCCAATCAGGGTGGGCAAATTTAAATACCACATTACAGCTGTACTTAAACGTTAACAGCCAAATTCGCTTGAAATAAGATATTTTTTGTCTGAACTCCACTGGTGGAGCCCCACAGCTGGTCTGACTAGTTTAGCTGCTGCAGCTGACTGAAAGTGAACTCTGTATTACTAACACACTTCTATACTATTAAGATTTATCTAAAATGCGTTTATTTTTATCCTCCAGGTTCAATATGTGCTGCAACTGACAGATGTGATGAAAATCACAGACAGCAAAGGACGACAATCATGGTTTTGAGAAATTAATCTTTTTGGATCATGGTATTTACCACCATTGCACAGTTCAAGGTTAATGGAAAACCAGATCTGCAAAACATGCAGATGAGCCACACAGTGCACATGTGAATGGGATACAGTTTCTGTGGTGAGCCCATGTGAAATTAACACATCCAAAAACTGAGGAGAACCAGCTTCAATCATGTCCCTATCGGTAAGTGTGTGCAAGTCACCACTGTAAAACACTCTCTGCTGTCCAGTCCTTAATATTCATATCCACTGCTAGTATGGAGGAGGAGGAACTGGGGCTCAGCTTGCCTCAGAGCACCACATCCCCTGGGGGGATGAGAAAATGAACGGGAAATTTAGAGGTAAAAAAGGGTATGACAAAAGGACCTAAAACTGGGGGACAGATGTTGAGCCCCTCCCCTACGAGTCTTCCTCATTATCATCAACTCAGCGCCTCTTTCCCTTAATCACTAATTCTCTCTCTCCCATAATCACAGACCTCTGCCCTTACTTATGCATTCTCTCTATCAATATTGATTTACCCATGAAGGCAGAAGTGTGGTGTTCTGAATACAAAAGACCTTGAGGTAACCCATTACATTCGTAACGTCACTCTAACTGTACGGCTCATAAGCGCTGCCCTTTTCGGAGGCATTTAAATGAGCAGTTCTTCTGTAGGCTTCATGTATGCCAAGAATTTAGGTCAGCAATTAAATTGCTATGTACTGACCATCTATTAAGCTTCTTAATCTAAGCCATATTTGTGTGTACTTTAAATGTTTCAGCTATGAGACTTAGGTTTTTTTGGCGTTGACCATGGCCTTCATCGCCTTTATGTTGTTGTTGTGATGATGTGCTAGTTCTGTTTGTTAAGTAAATGGGAAAACAAATTGATTTGGTCACACAGGTTGATGAACCTGGTTGAAGTGGCCTCTACGTATTTCCTTTTTTGATTTCCCTTACTAAGACAATGCAGCTCAAACGCTGCAGAAGTAGAGTCAGCTGAAGGCTCAAATAAATTCAGTTTAACTGAGTACATTGAATTTAAACAACAATTGAATTACATTGTTGCTAGCAGTCCAGTGAAATCTATTGCTGTTCTTGCCCATTCCCATTGAAGGACTCGGTTAAAGCATTTCTTCTGTCTGTCTCCCTTTTTTATTTATGCAGGAATTTATTATGTTTTGCTGCCTTTGTTGTATTTACATTTACATTCATGCTTTTAACAGACGCTTTAATCCGAAGCAAATTACAATAGAAGAACATGAGCAATTTATCACAGAGCCAGCAATATTCATAGAGTACAGTGCTAGGTTTATTAGAAAGCTAGACTAAAAAATAAGCTAGTCCAGAGGTGATTGATGTCTTTATAGGTTTTATTTAAAGCTTTGTTTGGTTTCTTCTCCTCCTCCTGATAAGTTGTTTTTTACTGTCTTGTAGACGGTGCTTGCAAAGGCACTTTTTGACAATGCTGCTGAAAGCCCAGAGGAGTTAGCATTTCGCAAAGGTGACATCCTGATGGTTCTGGACCAGGAGCAGGACGGTGGACCAGGGTGGTGGCTTTGCTCCCTACATGGCCGCCAAGGAATTGCCCCCGCCAACCGTTTACGCCTTCTCCAAACTGCTCAGACTCCGGCTACAAGCGCAGGTACAGATCCCCGACGAGCTCCTAGTGTGGACTCGGTCCATCTGTCGACTAGCCAGCAGGGCAGGGTAAATGGACTGAGCACTGAAGATCCAGATGGGGTGTATCTCTCACCACCCAGCTTAGCTGAAGGGGTGTACCAAAGCCCTGGGGCAGCTCCTGCCCCAGCCAGGTCTGGAGAGCTGCGTCACTCTGATGGAGGAAGACCACGATCGCATTCTAGTTCCGGAACCAGGCCTCGTCCGGATTGGGGGGATGTGGGTGTGGCAGCACGACCCCGCTCACCCTCACTTAGAGGATGGGGTGGCGAGTCAGGGACCCTCTACCAGACTCCCACCTCACCTGCGCCAATGGCAGCACAACACAGATCACAAGGTGCACTGGCATCCGATTCAGTGTACCTGACTCCAAGTGCTGTTCCCAGGTCTGCAGCCGAAACATCAGGGGAGGCTAGGTATTTAAGTCCACGGGATGCAGGGGCCGGTAATTCTGATGGATGCTACTTGGTGCCTAGACCAGCTGTCGCTGCGTTGACCAGTGAGAATTTATATCAGACTCCTACAAGTGGTGCCCCAGTGGCAGGACCATGTGTATCGGGAATGACTTCAAGACTTACGGATGGGATTGCACCCAAAAGCAGCCCATCTTCTTCTATTAGTCCTTCTCAGAGTAAGACTGGCCAAGATGCCCCAGGGATGTACCAAACCCCAACCCCACCTGGAGGTGCCATATCCAGGACCCCTCAGTCTGACCACAAACACCCCGCTGGAACTGTAGGAGTGTCTGGAGCCTCAACACCAGGCCAGAATCTTAAGCAGACACCTCCCTCGGCCCGAGGATCCCAAAAGGGTACTACTTCAACTCCTCCGGTTGGTCGAGGAAAACTGGCCCAGGGTGGCCTGAGAGAATCCCCTCTACTTGCCAGGGTGGGAAAGTCCGGAGTACCAGGGTCCCCAAATTTTGGTCGCAAACCGCTTCCTCCAGCACCTCCTGTTAGAAGTGTGACCAGGAAGGATTTTCCTCAGTCTAACTCGGTTCCAATCACCAACCCTGTTCTCCAGGCCAATCCTGTACCCCCGCAGACAAACATGCTGGAGGAAGAGAGACAGGGAAGTAAAAATGGACACATGCAAGTGGACGAGATGAAGAAGAACAGTGAAACAGTGACCAAGAGAGAGAGTGCAAGTTCTCAGGATGAGAAACTCAGTGAGGAGGTGAGATAAATGAGAACTTGATTGGAAAAAAGAAATAGGTTGTAGTTCTGCAGAAGACGGAGGTGTTTTCTCTGAAGAAATAGTGGAGATTATGCCATGTTTAATGCTTATCCCTGTGTTCTTCAGGTATATGATACACCTCCCACAAGTAGGTGGCAGCATCCAATTCCTGCAGTGCCTTCTGAGGAGGATGATGGGATCTATAACACCCCTCGTGCTGTACCTCTACACACCGACCAGGGCTCAGAGGTAAGGAATCAAACACAAAAGGAAATGCAAGACAGAATGTTGATCTTGCTCTTGTCCACACAATAAAAGTGAATGAGGACAGAGGTTGTCTAGCTGCAAAAATCAGGCGAAAAGCACCATAGAATTATCCATACAATGTCTTTTGAAGCCATACGATAGATCTGTGTGAGGAACAGACCAGAACCTAAGTTTTTATTCACTGAAAATCATGCCCCCTTTCATAGCTCTCATATCTCTTTTGGACTGCCACACATTTAAAGTAGTACATTGAAGGTTAATCGTGAGCCACCCAAGTACCAATGGTCATTAGCTTGATTGGTATCAAATGCTAATGCAATGTGTCTTCACTACTGTTTAACAGTTTGGAGTATCTTATGTTAGGCAAGGCTGCATTTATTTGATAAAAAATATATAATCGAAACATTAATATTGTGAAATATCATTACAGTTTAAATTAGTTGTTTTCTTTTTTAATATATTTTAAAATATAAATTATTCCTATGATACAAAGCTGAATTTTCAGCAGACAGTCTTCAATGGCACATGATCCTTCAGAAATCATTTTAATAAGCTTTTTTGATGCTAAAGAAATATTCTTATTTTCACTGTTCAGAATTCTTTGATGAATAGAAAGTTCAAACGAATGTGTATTTGAAATTCAGTTGCTAAAAAATCATCTACTTTTAAATATCAGAGGTTTTGTACATTTACACACAATCTCCACATTTTCACATAATCTCTCCTTTGTTTTTCCTCTCGTTGTTTTTCTTGTTTCTCATTCTCTCACTCCTCTCCTATTCCTTTGCTTTTAAACCACACCTTTTTTTCTGCTATGAGCTAATCCCATGTAACACTTTTCTCTTGTTCACACAAGTCACAGCAGTCTGTCGGGTTGGGCAAATTAGCCAGACCCATGTGGCTCTATTCAGCCCTCCACCCACAATCTTTCTCTCCCCTTTCCCTCTCTCATTTTTTCTTATTAATCCTCACTGAATCCTTAGCAATGGATTTTTGTCCTTGTGCAGAGAATCAACTGTAAATAAATGTATACTACATTTAAACATATAAAATAAATAAAAAGGGATTTTTGCTCTTAATCCATATACATTATTATTATTACTATTATTCAGTGTCAAAGTGGAACCTGTCACATGGCAAATTAGTCTTACTGATTCTCTAGTAACGTATTGATGGTGACCAAATACACAGGAGACACTCCAAGTTCATTAAACTGTGTGCTATTAGAGAACACATAGTAAAGGCTAGAATACACTACACAACGTTTGCCTGCTTTTTTTTGTCCTGATTTGCAGTCTGGAGAAGTCAACAGAGCTAATCGACAGATTTTGAGCAGGCAGAGTTGACAGATTTCACCAAAAATCATGTAGTGTGTGAAGAGCACAGATTTTTTAGCTTCAGACCATATCGAGCTTGTTTAATATTTTGAACTGATTATGAAACACGTGTTGTTTTCATTTGTCATGCATCTCCTAGCAACAAGACACATTTTATGAATGAGTCTGTTGTGTTCGGAATTACTTGAAAGTCTAGTAGTGTGTGATCCTCAGTTGTTTAGTGTATGATGCCCAATTTTTTCAGTCTTAAATTGAACAGTAGCCGAGACTCCCACATAACAGTCATAGAAAACCATGATTCATGCTTTATTATGGCACAATTTGCACAGTTGAATGGAGTTTGGGTTCCAAAATCTTTTGTAACTCTTTATAAATTAGTAAACAGTGAGTAACTCTTTCATATCTTTCAGATTTATGATATTCCCACTCTGGCCCTGAATTCCTCCTCTGACCATCAGCAGCAAACCTACAATATTCCAGGATCAGCTGCTGTGGCTGGAGATGCAGAGGATGAGGATGTGTACAGTGTTCCCAGTCTTCCTGGTTTACCCTTGGAGGCAAGCGAAATGCCGGGATTAACTGCAGAAACTGCGGGAAACGGACGTACCTATTCGATTTCCAGTCCTAGAAAGCAAGACTTAACCTCCGAAGATGTGTCAGAACCTGATGGAGGCATCTACGACATGCCTGCCCTCACTCTGGAAATCCCAACACGCCGTTTGTCTGTGTCAAGCACCGGCTCCGGGGACATCCAGTGGAAAGCATCTCTTTCTGCTCTAGTCCAGTCTGCTCTGACCTCCGCCTCTGTCACCACCACCCCATCCCGAGACCTCGCCTCCGCATTGGCTGAGATCCTTTCTGTCTGGAAGGCTGGGCATGTTGGTGATGTTCCTCCAGTTCTCCAGCAGGCTTGGTCCCGTCTCTCGGACCTCCTTCCTGCCCTTTCGGTGTGCGGTACTGCCCCCACAGCTGACGGTCTGCTCACGATGGTCCGTTGTGCCCTTGAAGATTCCGTCTCTCTTTTACAGAGTCAAGCACGACCTCGTTTACCTTCCCAGGAGTCTCTGTCTCGGAGACCTCTACCTGCTTTGCCGGTGGCAGAGGTCAAACCGATCGTAGGGGACATGGGATCACGGAAGGGCAGCTGGATCCAGGAACGACCGCTGCCTCCTCCGCCGACCGCTGCCTTCCCTTTGCCCCCGGCACCAGTTTCTTTAGCTCCAACTGTGGGAAGAATGGAGGATGAGGAACAAGGAAATGAGTATGCAGGAATCGGTCTAACTCCTACACCACTGCCTTCATATCCTGTAGGTGATAGTGTGGGATACGTCAAACTGCAGGTTAGACACCTGTTTTATAAAAAGATTGTGGAGCATGCATGGATATAATGCCGTAAACTAGAGCATACAAACATAAAAAGAGTAAATGTTCATTACACTCTGATGTTATTGTGTCAGTTTTTATTTGAGTATGAACACAAGTGTTTATCAGGCAGAAGCTTGAAGCATTGTACTTATCAAACAAAAACATCAGTTAAAGGAGACATATTATGCCCCTTTGTACAATATGTAATATAAGTCTCTGGTGTCCCCAGAATGTGTCTGTGAAGTTTCAGCTCAAAATACTCCACAGATCATTTATTATATCATTTGAAAATGCCCATTTTCAGTGGAAGCAGAAACACGTTATTTTTCGGGCCTGTCTCTTTAAATGCAAATGAGCTGCTGCTCCCCGCCCCCTATTCCAGAATAGAGGCCATTACAGCTCGGGCCTGCTAAAAACATCTGTTTTGGTTCTGATTATCATGTTTATTGTGCTGAAATCATGCATTTTAAACCATATTAGTGTAAACTTCTGATATACGGTTTTCTGAGTGCAGTGCACACATACAGAAAGCAGCCACCACACAGCATGTGAGTACTAAACTTAAGTTCTCATTCACACACAAGTTTACGTTAAAAACACACATGAGTTACAAAAACAGTCGGTTATGTCTGTGAAGGTAAACAGCTGGGAAATAAATTGCATGTTTATTTTAGATCTGTGTGGCAGCAACATTATAAAGTAAATGGAGGAGTTGGATCTGGATCCAACCACGCCCCCTGGATCTTGTGTTCTGCAGTGAGGCCATCTCTGTATAAATTTACAGATTAAGTGGCAGTAATATTATAATGAGATCCCTTTGCGAAATCAGACGCGCTCGTTTTTTCAGACGCTTGCAGAAAAAGGCTTACCAAAGCAAAGTTACTGGGTTAATCTTTTTCACGTTTCCTTGGTTGGTAGATGCACCGGGGACCTGATTATAGCACTTAAAACCTGGAAAAGTCAGATTTTCATGATATGTCACCTTTAACAAAATAACTTTCATGCCAACTTAATATTTATACACTCTTATGATTTATCTTTCTGTCTTGTTCGTTCCGTCAGACATTTACTTCTCTTTTCACTGTCTGTTCATGTTTTGGTGCCTGTATTCGTCTTTGTTGAAACTTTTCTGTGGTCTGCAGTTCTCTTTTTGTGGACATTTAGATTTTTTGTTGCTCTGTTTTAGGGGAAGCCAGAGCCTCCACCAGACACCCATACAGAGCACAGTTCTTCACAGCTTATCACCACAACTGATAATAAAGTAAGTCTTTTAAACACTAGAAAAGCCATTGTAGAAAGATAGTAACACTTAAATAGTACCTTAATCAGACACCATTGCTGACTGATTTGGATCAAACTTTGCAATCTCCTCAATACACTACCATTTACAAGTTTGGTTTCAATACGATTTAAAAAAAAAAAACGTATTCAGCAAGGATACACTATTTTAATAAAAAGTGACCGTAAATATTTACGTTGTTGCAAATAAATTATATTTCAAGTAATTTCTGTTCTTTTGAACTTTCTATTCATCAAAGGATCCAGAAATAAATTTATCTTAGTTTCCACAAAAAATAAAAAGAAGCACAGCTGTTTTAACATTGATAATAATAAGAAATGTTTCTTGAGCACTAGATCAGCATATTAGAATGATTTCTGAAGGGTCATGTGACACTGAAGACTGGAGTAATGGCTGCTGAAAATTCAGCTTTGCAATCACAAGAATAAATTACATTTTAAAATATATTAAAATAGGAAAGGGTTATTTTAAATTGTATTACTTTAATGTTTGACTGCATTTTTAATCAAATAAATGCAGACTTCCTGAGCAGGAAACTACTTTAAAAACTTTTTTTTTTTTTTAATTGGTCCTAAACTTTGGGACATAAATGTATGTATTTTTGATCTGTACTCGCAATTTTTTCTTAACATGTTCAGTGATATAAAAATGACAATATTTGGGGGAGAAAAAAAAACTATAAACCTGTGTAAATACAAGATATATTTTCAAAATTTTGCAGGAATTTAACTCACAACAGAGCTCATTCATTAAGTCATAGTTGAACTACTCCAAATGACAAACTTAGCGTAATGAAACTTTATTTTAGTTAAGTATAACATACTGAAATGCCAGATTTGCAGCTACGCTGTAGGCCTCTAATTATGCAATTTTAGGTATTTTCAAGGAGGTTAGGGTCTGTGTCATTTGTGCGTTTATATGAATAACTTAGTTCTCTGTTTCTTTCCAGTTGAGTCCATCACCCCCAGTCTCTCTGTCTCTAGAGGATTCAGAGCTACTCTCTTTCTACTCCTCCCAAAGTCTCTCTCATCTTTCTTGCCTGGCCGATGCCATCGATTCCCTGTTCACAAGTGTCCAAGGGAACCAACCACCCCGAGTCTTCGTTTCCAGGGGGAAAAGTCTCATTGTAACTGCACACAAACTTGTCTTTATTGGGGATACACTTGCACGGCTACTCAGCTCTTCAGACCTCAGAGCAAAGGTTAGAACATAGATACTCTGGTCAGAAATGTTATTGAGAGTTTTTGTTCAAGTGTTATTGTACAAATATTTGATTACCAGTGAATGTACTTAATGATTCACGCCACAACAAATCAAATTGTGAGTCACGGTTGATAACCCAAGGGCAATAGTCAACATGAAGAGTCTGGGAAGTGAACAAGCGTTTGGTAAACATGTTGACGGGTCAGTTTCCAGCAATGATGTTATAAGCAGGTGACATTATTTAACCGCATTCACACACAAACACTGTTTGTCTCCTCAGGTCACCACCTCCAGTGGACGCCTCTGCCAAGCTCTGAAGGCTGTTGTCGTGGCAACTAAGGGTGCAGCCCAGAATTATCCTTCAGTCCCTGCTACGCAAGAAATGGTGGACCGAGTAGCTGATCTATCCCAGCATGCAGCTGGTTTCTCTGGGCTTTTGCAGCGATTAGCTGAGATATCTTGATGTTATTTGGGCAGTTTAACCTTTGTTTTCACAGTGGAATGCCTTATTATTATTTTTTTGAGGATGCATCAAAAGCATGTCACTGCTTGTATTAGTTCAACAGTGATAAAATGATCAAACAGTTGGTGAGTATATGTTGGAGTGTATCTGCTTGCCTGTGTTGGTTTTGACACTTTAGACTGGTCTTTATTTCTTTTTTTTTTCCTTTTTTGTGGTGCCAAGCACACTTAAACGTTTTAATAACTTATTGATGGATGTTTTGTTTGAAGATGTTTGCAACCTCAGGCACATTTTAATAGCTTTATTTTGTCCCCTTAACCATATTGACATCGATGAGGTAAAAGTGATCTTCTATATTTAAGGGTGTTCTTGTAAACTGGTCTAATTATTCAGTTTGTTTGTAAATGTGAAGTGGCCTTGGTGTTATAGAGATTGAAGTGACTAATTTGACAGCCCAGGAGGTTTCAGTTGTGCTGCACATGTAACCAAAACAGATAAAGCTAACCTAGTTTCAAATGTTAAACAAGAAGGAATGCTTGATTATTTAAACAGACATGAAGAAAACAGTACTTTTTGAATAAGTGATTCAACAATTTATTGAATTTTGGGAGAGCATTTCCCACAATGCTGATTCAGAGATAAACCTGTCTGTCAGGTCCACTCAGCCTCTTTCTTCACACTCTTTGCTTCACTCATTTATTTTTTTTCTTCCCATATTTCTCACACTCCCACAGTCGGTTTCTTCACATGCTCACAAAGGCAGCTTAATGGTGAAGCAGTTTTGGCAACAACTCTTGCACAATTAAATATCATACAGGGTTTTTGTTTTTAAACAGGCTATGCAGCATTTCTGAAAACAGCAATATATATCTAGTAGCTTCCATAGTGGCAGTCGAAATGCTGGTGCTTACAGTATCTTGTACTCAAACAGGCTTGGTTCTAACCAGACAGAGCTTTGTGTATCTATTGGACAGTGCTCACACAGGTTGAAACATGCACCTGTTTCCCTCCTGTCTTGAAAAATCATGTCGGTGTCATAAATGTATTGTCATGTTTACAAGACACCCTCATAGTCTGTATCTCAGCCCATTCCTCCATCTGTTAATTCCTCCATCTGCTCTCTTATTCTGGCTCCTTCCCCCATCTTTGTCTGTAAATACCCACATCTCCACTTTTTATATACAGGATTTACATGTTGGCCACCGGTACAATGCTATCAGTGTTATTCTTGCTGTTCGACTTTGGTTCGGTTTGACTGGTTCATTACATCTTTACACTTACTGGCTCTTGCAATTTAATAATTCAGCCATAAAAAAATTTCATAGTTTAAATCTCAAGTAGCCTTCCCTTTATTACTGCCTTTTTTTTAAAGTGGCCTTTTTAGTTTTTACTTATTTTGTCAGTCCTGTCACAGTGGATAAAGTGGTTAAAAAGTGCTGAAAAGGCCAATTAAGTGAATTGAATTCTGAGCTGATGTAGATGGTTTCCACTGGTGTTGGTGTGTTAGTTGACTCAGTGACATCTGGTGGACTTTATCAGTATTACTACACAAACTACTTGGATAAGTAAAAAAAAAAATACAACACAAAAAATACAACACCTCAACAGGTACTTCAGAGTATACTTCTGGTAGATAGACAAGCATCATATTTTATGCTTTTGAATGAGCTCTCATGTCCCTCTGTAAAAAATAACTATGTATATATATAAACATTTAAATTATACAAGTCCTCAAGCAAGCGTTCCTCTCAAAAGGCTCATTTATCTTAAAGGCACAATATGTAATTTTCGCTGCTAGAGGGCGCGTATGCAAAATAAACAAATAGACAAAGGCTAGTTTGATGACGCAGTGACTGAGTGTGGAGTCATGGGAGTTGTGGTCTTCATCCCCTTGCATTTAGGGAGTCTTTGGTACTTGTCAAATGTTGAGATTCTTCTAAATACATTTTTGTTACTAAACAAAGTTGTGGTTATTTCAGTTTTGTCCTGTGTCTTATTTTTCTTGTTTAAAATGTGACCCTGGACCACAAAACCAGTCAAGGGTCAATTTTCTATAATAGATCTGTAATATGTATAGATCTATACATCATAAATAAGCTTTCCATTGATGTATGGTTTGTTAGGATTGGACAATATTTGGCCGAGATACAACTATTTGAAAATCTGGAATCTGAGAGTGCAAAAAAAATCTAAATATTGAGAAAAACACCTTTAAAGTTGTCCAAATGAAGTTCTTAGCAATGCATATTACTAATCAAAAATTACGTTTTGATATATTTATGGTAGAACATTTTATAAAATATCTTCTTGGAGCATGATCTTTACTTAATGTCCTAATGATTTTTGGCATACAAGAAAAATCGATAATTTTGACCCATACAATGTATTGCTGGCTATTGCTACAAATATACCTGTGGTTCTTATGACTGGGTTTGTGGTCCAGGGTCACAAATGTTTATGCATTAGTTCAGTGATAATCAGCCTTTGCTGGTCTAGCTAGTCCAACAGTCGAGATTTAGCTTGTGAACAGGCTGGTTTCCCAGCCTAACCAGGTGAAAAGTACTGAAAACCAATCTAAACCAGCAAATAGAGCATCCTGGTAGACCAGCAAACTGACAAATTTTAGGATGGTTTTAGAAACGGAATTAAGCCATGAACGTCTTGTTGTGTTATGTTATGAAGGACGCAGGCGCCATAATGACTATTACAGTGCAATTTTAACCCGTTGCTGTAACTTAAATATCCTGGATGCAGACTGCAAATCGCAAGGAGAAGAGCTGAAAGCTTCGTTCAGGCCCGTTCTTGAATCTGTTTTTGTCTCTTCCGGAGATCAGTGCGCGGTGATGCGCACACAGTGCGCTCGTGCACGGCCCCAGAAGTTCGTGAAGCAAAATGGCGGAACTCGAGGATGTTACGTTAGACGGCAAACCGCTTCATTCGCTTCGTGTGGCGGATTTAAAAGCCGCCCTGGAGCAAAGAGGGCTCGCCAAAAGTGGACAGAAAAATGCACTCATTAAACGGCTGAAAGGGGTGAGTTTGGTCAAAGGGCGGGCGTAAACCGTGCGCTTGCTGTCAAGTTGAGCAGGAGACGAGAGCGACAGACAGACAGGCCAAGTATCGCTGCTTCGAGAGCGGGAATGATCGTCGCGTGCATGTGGATAGTTTGAATCGTTTACCGCGCCGCACGGCAATTGTTTTCCATTATTTGTGCAGTTATATCACGTAATTTAAATAATACAGCAGTACGGGTGTTTTCTAAACAGTCTGTGGGTCATTACACGCCGCGGTCGCGGAGTTAACGTCGTGCCCGCGCGTCGTATGTTTGTAGTGGGGTGCGCGCGCTTGTCAGTCTCGTGTGATGGATGCGTGTTTGACACTTGCACAACATTTATAAACAAGATAGAAATAACCAGTAGTTTCTAGTTTCTACAGATGTAAATGGAATTACAAATGATACTCACGCTCGTTAATCAAGTGTGGGCATTTCCTGTGGGCTATTATATGTAAATCACTCAACTATTTTGGTTTTAAATGCCGCGTTTTAGAGGGTCGGAGTATTTCACACTTTCAGTTTCGCATTCACGTGAGTGACTTTTTCTTTCATTGCCTATTTTCCATCGACGGTTAGCATAACGACCGGTAAACTGTCAGATTAACGGAGTCATCTGCGAAGTATATGCTAATGTAGTGAATAATGTGAAAGGCTAATGCCACTCCCACCTCTAATATAAACACTTCATTCAGCGACGCTTCTTCACTCACTCTCGCTCTCTTGTATCAACCCGCAAGCGGTCATGTTGTGCTGGTCGGGTAAATGAGATTTTTTTTTTTTAAGTTCTCGGACCTTTTCTTTATACAAAGTGTATTGAATAGGTTTGTATCGCAAGAAACATGCTTGATCGGATTTAGGAACCTAAACAGAGAGTATTTATGAAAAATACTGTTCATTTGTTTACTGGGTTTAATGTGAATGACTATATCTGCATTTTAAATGTGCATCATCGTGTTTTTAAAGGCTCTAATGTTGGAGAATCTCCAACGAACATCTACCCATCAAATTGGTCTTCAGCCCAATTCTCAGGTAAGAAAGACATTTTAACCCTTTTTTCTCATTTGTGTCATTTATAGATTATAGAATTATAGTTTTATGTTTAAAAATGTTTCAGCATTCTATAAAGCTTACTGTACTGATACTTTAATTTCTAATTCTTTTAAATTATCAACATGGTTTAAAACTTGTTGCATACAACCTATTGCACATAATTTATTACATGTCCTTTGACTGATAGTTGTTACTTTTTAGTAAATAAAAGGCATTTTAGTATGTTTTTAAAAACGGAACACAAATTTACCTGTAGTGAACTTATGTTTACTTGATTATCCGTACAACTTTTTTAAATGTTAAAATGCAAAATTGTATTATGGAATTAGTGAGACTTTCTAAAGGGCATCACATAAATTATTTATTTTAATCATAAATTAAGCACACAGATATGTCATTTATAGCATCTGAACATCTATTACATGATTACTGCAAGTTTGTCATGCTTGTTGGCTCCAAGAATTGTAAATGAAGTGACCTTGACTGGAGTGTGCTTTCTGTGTATGTATCAGATTGGAGAGGAGATGAGTCAGAACAGCTTTATAAAGCAGTACCTGGCCAAACAGCAGGAGCTCCTCCGACAGAGACTGGAGAGAGAAGCCCGGGAGGCCACTGAGGCAGATGGTAAGCAGACTCACATGTACATATACACAGGTTATAACACTGACTCGACTACGCCATCTGTGCAGGAAATCTTAACACACAGTGATGCATAATGTTTGAAGTCTCATACACCAATTTAGTGTTTCCAGTGATGAGCCAGCCATGCTAATACTGATGCACCAGTCTGTCTAGGTGTAAGTGAGTTAACTTATCTTCTCACACTTGCAGTGTGCCCTGAGGAAATTCTAGGTGGTTGTCAATGGCTATCCAACAGTTGTATTCTTTGTTTGCTTATTAGATTACATTTTTAACCTGTGCATTAAGGAGTTCATAGGGGCATTGACTTTCCCTTTAGGTTGACACTTTAGGTTGTGTACATTTTTTTTCACCTTCAAGAAACTCTATGCATGACCTTTGCAATATACTGCTTTCAGAGACACAGAGTCCTGCTGGTCCTGAGGAGGATGAACACATGCCAACCAAAGATAGCACTTCCTTTCTACCAGAGAAAGTAAGCACATATAGTCTTTGTATAAAACTGACTTAAATGTTTGCACAAAGTAAAGTTTTATTTGATGTAGTACAGTTGTGCCCTCGATTTATTTATCCGATTTATTTGATCAGCAAATACATATTCTGATTTGATTTGTGGCTTGTAATATGCTAGAGATGTATTGATTAGGGAGCTGTCCAGAACAAACATTACCTGATATGACAGCATTGGTTTTCTATGCAAGCAGATAGAATTCACACCACATATATGCAATCATGTAGAAGCGGTAGAGAGTTTCCATTGATGAGCTTGCCAGTTGTCATTTGGAAGTGTGTATGCCTTCTTGCATTATTATGCTGTTACATTATGATTATATATTCAGTGGCATAAAATGGTCTTTAAAATTACAATAATATCGCTTATCGCAATTATTTCTGGGACAATATATCGCACAACAAAAAGTTGTTATCGTGACAGGCCTAGCCATGCTAATACTGATGCACCAGAGTTTGATTGTGTCACTCTGGGTGTAAGTGAGTTCAACTAAACTTCTCACACTTGCAGTGTGCTCTGAGGAAATACTAGGCAGTTTTCATGGACTGTCCAGCAGTCATGCTCTGATTGCTTATTAGATTACATTACATTATCACTACTAAATAATTAATTAGAAAGTGCATGTCTAGGAACATCTGCTCAGTTTTCATGTATGTGTTTGATCTTTCATTTACATTGTTTTCCAGCATCACTTCGTACACTCTCATCTGTCTGCAACCCAGGCAGGCGGAGGAGGGTTGCCACAGGACCCTGGGTTATTGGGATCGCACAGGTTGGATACAGGCCCTGTTCCAGTGTCTCAAGAATCACCTGACACTAAAGCTGGGAGGATCTGGCATCCTTCTTTCCTTCCCGGCCATGAGGAGGTCGCAACACCCTCTCCTCCACGTGCAGTTGCCTCCTTGTCTGTGCGCGTGGTTGGACAACCTGAGCGTCAAGGCTTGCCTCTCATGATGCCCCGTGCCCAAGAGAGAGAGGGAACGGCCCCGATCGAAGCAGGTCCTGCCCATTCGGTGTTGCAGCTCAGCCGTTCCGCGAGGGCCGCAGCTTGTGCTCAAGTTGATAGCGATGACAATGATGAGGATGATGATGACGATGATGAATGGGGTCCTACCTCACATGGGAAAAAGAACGTCCGGGCTCCTCCTATACACACTCCACCAGCTGCAGCCCCCCAACGATCCCGTAGAAAGCTTCAACCACCACAGCACATCCCTCCTCAGCCTCAGCCAGTCCACCAGCCACCTCTGCAGCTCCGTCAACCTACTCCTCCCCCATCTCCACCTCCAGAGATGTCTTTCCCGCTACCTGACACTCCCAAACAGAGCCCACAGGACCAAGATGAGGCAGCAGGCCTAGCAGAAGGTGCTGCTTCAGGGGCAGACGTGGTCTCTCCGCCATCCCTCAAAAGACAGGAGTCCAGCTCCAGTTGTAGATCCAGCAGCCCAGAACCCCCATCCACACGCAGACCTGGTCCACTTAGCCTGCTGGTCCGCAAAATGGAATCGGAGGGTGTGTTTGATGGTGCACAGAAGGCAGGGATGGAGGGAGAAGGAGAGATGGAAGTTGAAGAGCA